TTTTCTTCTGTCATTTGTCTCCCTATATTAATTTTTTTTAATGGCAAAATCATTCTGTCATTAGCAGAACATTTCTTTAATAACTTGTTTTCCCCAAGAATTGCAGTTTGTTCCTAGTAGTGGCTTTACTTTCAGGTGAACTAACACTGCTGTTGCAGTTATCAGTGTGAGAGGTATTCTCTTTGTGGTATGCTTTTCACTTAGGCTTCCTCGCCATTTACTTAGCAGTTTGGAATCCTTAAAGACTTGTTGACTATCTGTTGGGAAATCTCCATCAATTTCCATCAGATGTGGAGTGAATGCAGCATTTTTATTTTCCTTAACTTATACCAACAAGGACTCAAGAAAAATTTAAGAGTAAAATAGTCATATGAACTTGCATACAAGGTCTAGTTGGTAGTTCTATCCAAGAAGGTAATTTTGCCTCCTGGTTGAATAAATTAGTCACTTATGCTTAAAATCTGTTCTTGCATAAACTTGAATATTTCAGACATACTACTTGTTCATAATGTGGGTGCTAATTTCTACTGAGAGTGATATTTTTCTTGGAGGAGTGTTTTTTTTCTTTTAACTAACTTGTCCATTCTCTTTTTATGTTCATTTTGTTCTCTGTTTAACCTGCAGCAACATTCCCTCTGGATCTTGTGAGGCGGCGCAAACAATTGGAAGGTGCAGGTGGTAGAGCTCGTGTTTACACGACAGGACTTTTTGGTACATTCAAGCACATAGTGCAGACAGAAGGCTTGCGCGGCTTATATAGAGGTATCCTTCCTGAATACTACAAAGTGGTGCCTGGAGTTGGTATATGTTTCATGACTTACGAGACATTGAAGAACCTTTTAACAAATATTTCTAATCAATTATAATCGGTGCAAATACATCTGGATGTTTTATCTGCACCTAGAAGATAGGTGGATAAATTTGTAATGCAACATTTCAACCCCATTTAGTTTCATTTCGATAGGCAGCCATAAAATTTGCAGTGCTGCAGTGAGAATTGTATTTTTCCTTGTAATTAGATTTACAGAACACAGAATTACAGGTATTCAACAGTGTTATACTCACAATTCTCATTTGATCCAATTCCATGATGTCTCCTTTTTCTTTTGCTCAAATTTTCTAAATTTCAAGTACATGGTATGATGAGATTACATAGCTGGGATCAGTGTTAAGAAAAATCTCTGCAAAATGATTATAAAAGAAGAATATTATTGAAAACGGAAGAGTAATTTAAGATGTGTAGTAACAGGACCCCATTAAAATCACAGGGAAGAACCGGAGAAGCCAATCAAGCTGCTGGTGGACCTCAACAATAAATATTTTTGAAGTGTATGGATGTGTGGATGTGCTTAAACAAAGCGTTACCGTGGGAAATCTCCAGAAAGGTAGATATGATTAAGAGTAGCACGTAAACCATATTTGTTGACAGCTGCATTTGCAGCCCGATATCCTTCTCCATAGGCCGGAGAAGCATCATGGGCGATTTGATGCATGAAAAACTGACCGAGTTTGTCGTCAACGCGAGGCCTTACTCCTTTCTTTGAGGATGAAGATGACGATGAAGCTGTTGATGTGGATGGCATGCTGCTTCCGGACGCTGGTAGTACTTCTGATTCAAGCCACATGTATGAAAGCACCTGACAGATACCTTCCTCTACCTCAGGATTAAGATTACGGTAGCCTGCATTATTAACACAGAGAATGAAGGAAAGTATGGAAGAGAACTATCCAAAAGGAATATCAATGGCAATTTATAACCTTGGAGACGTAACCAGCCATGCATTAACTCATGGGCAAGAATAGCTCCAGTCAGTAGTCTGCATCCAGCAAAGATGTTCAAATAAGTGTTAATTAACAGAAAATGTTTAGAATTAGAATTATAATACAGAAGATAAATAGGGCAATCTTGTCCAAAAGAAAGTTAAGTTAGTTTTCAAATTCCAATAATAAACTCGTTTTCTACACATTTTGAATTCTGAGTAACACAGGAAACCCCCAAGCATTGGGATTCAAATCCAACCCCTCTAGTCAGGGGGACGAAGCTAGGAATTTGTGTTGGGGGGGGGGGGGGGGATTTTAAAAATTTTGTGAGAGTCATTTATCAGTTTATATGGTATAATTTATATCAAGTTTTACGTCAATCATTAATTTTATACGCATACCACCTATAATATTCACACCCAATTTTAAATTAATTAGATATATTTAATTATTCTCTAATAGTATATAATTTAAAACCATTAAATAAATAGTATAAAAATACAGTTTATTTTCTTTATAAAGTTGCATATATCAAAATAATTTTAAATTTGAAACATATTTACATAAATAAAATAGATTCAACCATTAGTCTAATAGAACATTAATTATACAAACAAAAATTATATATAAACAATGTAACGACAAGTTAAATATAACTAGATCTAGAGTATTATTTTATATTTGTTCTTATTTAGATGAAATTAGTGTCTATATAAGAATTAGTTACAAATGATCGCTTTATCTAAGTCATAAATATTTCTTTATATTTGGATGGTCCCTATAATTCATATTTTAAAAATAAAATTCTATAAAAAAAAATATTTGTACCATATTGAACATTTTTCAAAAGTTTAGGGGGTGGCTGCCCCCCCTTGTCTTACACTGGCTCCGTCCCTGCCTCTAGTCTCAAATAAAAACACAACTAAGATTTAAGAAAAAGCACAGGGAAAAAGATGACCATTGAATATAACCTTGGAAGACCATAAAGAACAAGAATTGCAGTAACTTCACATTTTCGCTTAAGCTTTTGTGGTTGGGTTCTCATTCCAGTGAACCATTGACCTCCAATGCTTGGCCGCTTTAGTATCTGGATCAAAACAAATTGAAAAATGTAATGGCTGGTAAACCATCCATACTACTTAGAAAAATTATCCCTAATTGATAAAGAAAATTAACTCTTAGTGCAGTTGACATACACTGGTGACAGTCTGTTCTTCAGAAAGACACAAACCCCTTGTCTCAGGCAAGTGATGATGACCCTGGAAATAACCCAAACTAAATCAGAGTTGTTTCAGAAACTGAAAGTCTAAAACAGAGAGCCAGGGACCGTATATTACATTCTTCTCCCCAACAATTGCTTCATTAAGTGCTTGTCTTTCAACCAGAAGCATGGGAATTTGCTGATCTAGTTTCATATTCAGTCCTTCATAGTAGTCTCTAATGTCATGGTAAAGAGGTTGGCAATCACCAGTGTCCATAATAGCAGATTCCATGCATTCAAGGCATAAACTTCGTCCATCCTCCAGTGCATAGTATCTTGCATTCCAAGACTTAAGAGAAAAAGGAAATGCAACTATTCTTAGTAAAAAGCAAATATAGACAACTGTTTTTTCTCAAATTTTTAATTATGTGAAGACGATAAAATTTATAGAATTAGACAAATTATATTACCTCCAAACGTTCACAACTACAGCAGCGAGCTGTATTATCATGCTCATGTGATGGACAATACTTTTGTAACCAAAATGGATGACACCGGTACTCTATCAAACCAGCTCCATTTGTAGGGATCTGAAATTTAGTGTGATGAACTATAATACAACTCAGGGTACTAATGAAAAATGAGGACCGTTTAAGAAATTAACTTCCTTTTTAATACTTCTCCCATATTAAGAACAAACAAATTTCTAGTAAATCTATGTGAACAAAATTATTGACAAAATGTAAAGTAAAATGGCTATTCTCATTGGTCTTTATGGTAAATGTGATTCATTCATTAACCATTATAGAGTTACACATTTACATCATGCTGCAAAATTTCAGTGCCATAAGATTTAAACATTTCAAAATTTTCTATTTTCAGGATATGATGCTGAATCTTTGGCCCCCTCAATTGGAAAAACCAACTTTAATTAATAAGCAAAACAGAGAACATTTCTCTGCTTGTATAAAAACTTATGGGCAAAATGAAGAATAAATTCCAACAGGTAAAGTAATTAAAATATAAAGCAAAATGTAGCTTTCTTTTCTTACAAATTGAAGACAAACTTCACATTTGGGGTGAGTCATCTCTTTGAAACAAGATTTGTGATATGGATTGCTCCCTGACAAAGAAAACTTGGATCAACAGAAAAAACAAGTTTAGAGCCAGAGGAAAAACAAAAAGGATTTTATGGTTTTAACATCATCCAATGCTTATCATCTTTTCAACAACATGACTGATTCAACAATAGAACAACTTAGAAAAGAGTTCCAAGTTAATTAGACAAGAGAAAATATGAAGATTCTCAGGAAGTAGAGAAGAATAAAGCACCTCCTGCTCAGTGATTGGCAAACCGCAAGAATGGCAGCGGAAACATTCTGGGTGAAAATATGTTCCCATGCATCCCAAATAATTGCCATAACCAATGTCACGATGACAACCACCACATATTCTGAAAGCCATGGACATACACATGAATGAAGAATCAAACATAAGGTTGGCAAACTCATAACATTCAGATTTACATATTCTTTATTTCCTTTGAGTAGGGAACTGAATTTTCTTCAATGGCAAGTTACAACCGTTGATTAAATAGTTCTTTTACCTGTATCCCCTTGGCGGATAATATTGCCTCGGGGGAGGAGGTGGATAAGAAGACGAATCCAAGTTTGCCCGTGCCCGTTCAAAAGCTTCATCATCATCTGGCCCCCACCTAAACCCTGGAACTGGAAACACGACACTCAATGAATTGTTAAACATAGACAAAGGCAGAAAATAGATAACACAAATTTCTTAACATTATAAATTTACCCTGTGGTCTCTTCAAATCTTCAGCCAAAGAAAGAGCAATTGCACGATCTAATTCCTCTTTATCCCTCTCAGTTCTAGGCCGGTCATCCTAAAACCATTAACATTTTGCGTTTTTTATATCATAATACTATCAATATAGTCAACATCTAACACCAAAAAAAAATTCATGAAAGGTTACCACTTACCACTGCTCTAGCCGGTGCACGGTAACCCATGTTTTCCTCCCCCAGAAACAGTGGATTATTACCTGTTCCGCTACTGCTACTGGTACCGCTACCACTACCACCTCCTCCACGACTTGAACCGCTTTTAAAAAGCCTACTCAGCCACTTCATAAAGCGTGATTTTCTCTCTGTGTTTGAAGAAACAAAGTCCCCTGCTTTACCACGAAATTTTCAATGATAGAAAACAAAACCAGGACCCAAAAGATCAAAAGGCCATTAACTCTGTTTTATTGACCCAAAACAACTACAGACTCCTCAGCAAAGCATTTCATCAAACAGGTGGAGATCAAGAAGAAGTACAGAAATGTGTTAACATAATTCGTACCATATATACAGGGGGAAGAAAGATGATTAACACCTGAGGTATTAGGGGCCATGAGATAAATCCCGCCTATTTCTACTATATAGCTACCGCCCGAATGCCGACCGGAAAGTCCAAAGGGGGAAGGTAGAACGCAAGAGCCGAAAACGACAAGGACAAGGAGAGATGAAGGCGAAGGAAAAGAAAGGAGAGGGAGAGGGAACGCAACAGGCATCGTTAAAAGAGGTTGCAAAAAAAAAAAAAGAAGGGAATCTAGAGGAGGGAAAGGAAGAGAAGAGAAGAGAGATTCTTCGCTTGGGAAAGGAAGGAAGAGAAAGTGCAGGAGAATATTAAAGCGAGTCCCCCAGCTAACGGGTCAGGAAAAGTTTTCCCTTTTGTTTTCTTTTTCTTCGATCGGAATCGGAGCTGGAGAAGAATTTCACCTTTCCGATCTGTTTCTTATTTCACTTTCCGTATTTCCTCGTTTGATGTCAATTTGCCGGGAAAGGGGAGTTAATTTGTTTTTTTTTTTACTAACCTCCTACTCTTTAGTAACTATATTAAATTTAGACTAAATTGAAATCCGAGCAAGTTTAAAAATTCTCTCCACGTTTATTTTTAATTTAGAAGAGTGAAATTTAATATTTTATTTTAAAAATATCAAATTTCTTCTGTTTACACAAATAAGTTATTAGTAGTGGAGTTAATTAATGAAAAAATTACCTATTAACCTTATCTCTTAAAAATGAAAAAAAAAATATTTTAAAGTTATGTCATTTTAATAAATTTTTATTAGAAAAGATTAAACTATTTTATTTTTAAAGTATGCATTAAGGTGATTTTTATCATTTTTCCTCTTAATTTTTTGAAAGTAAAACAAACAAACACTTACTCCTTAATTAATAGTGTCACATAAATCCTCATAATTACAATATTTCCATTATGCCTAAATGTGCAAAAAGCTGTTTGGATTTCTAGAAGGTCCAAGATTTGAGAATGTTTGTAACAATGACATCCAAGTGTATACACAATCCTCTTTCTTAAATTTTGTATTATTAAGATTCAATTTTTATACCCAAATTAGTTAATTTTATGTGACATTGTCCTCAACTAAGTATATGGAGATTTTTTTTAATAAATTAAAATTATTTACATATATTAATTAAAAAAAAAGAAAAAAGAGTTATGTGAGTACCAAATACGTCACTTATAAAAAATAAACAGTTTTAATCCAAAATTCATATCACTAGATTGGAGTTGACTGTTCAAGTATTTAAAGACATTTTGATTGTTCAATTTAAGTATTTTTTAATTAAATTAAGTACATTCCTTGTAATTGGACATAACATATGATTTATATGTGCAGAGCATTTGCAACGAATTACATCCTTATGATGTCTCTTGGACTTTGGATGTCCTTATGGTCGGCGTATGACAATGGGACATGAGAAGGAATATATTCTTGACTGACCATTGCAAAATATTTTCAGCCGTTGCTTTGGCAAAGGGGATTTTAATTTGCTTTAACAATCTGGGGAATGAAAAAACTGTTCCTTCCTTTTCAATGAAATAATCTCCTTTTACAATTAAAATTATGGTTTCTTGTTGCATGACAATGCAAGCATTGGATTTTGAGTGCCTTTTGAACTGATGCAGAATCCTATTCCTTAACAGTGTTTTCCATGTGCTACCGAAAATATATTTATGGTTTTTACTCTGCATGCTCTGTTTATACAAATTGTACAATTTGTAGTTAACAATAAAAAAAAATATTTTAATAGTAAAATTTTCGTCATTCATTTATAAGTTTATAATTATAAATTTTATAATTTTTACATAATTAAGTAGCAGTTTAAACTTTTAAATTTAGTTACATCAAATAACGTATAAATGCATTTGCTTATATCGAAAGAACGATTCGATTCCGCCTCTTTTGAATTTGTTAAAAAAAAAAAAAAAAAGTACATGACACTTTTTTAAAGAATAAAAAAAAAGAAGCTACATGGGACATCGACAGTGTGTTTTTTCGAAAATGGTGTGGCGTCATGGGTGACGATGACATGAAGTTACGAAGATATGGATTTTTTTTTTTAAAAAAAATTGCCTTTATGATAAAGTTTTCATTAAATTTAATATATATATTAATATGTACATTGCTAATTTCCATTAAAACTTTATTACTAGCTGATGTTACAGGGTATCCATTCCAAATCTTTACAAAAAAAAGTGATCCGATTCCATTTAAAGTAAGTCAATTTAGATTATGCTTGTACAGTCCTCAAATTTACAGTTTAATTTATTTAAGAATAAATCATTTACTACACCATTTGACATTTACTTAAAAATTCAAGTTTTAGGAATAAGGGATTTGAGAATATTTATCTTAATCTATAAAGAATAATGGAGTCATCATTATTGAAAGTGAGATGCTGAAATAGTGAAATTGATTAATTATATTTACAACAATCTTAAGCTTAGCTTTCAATTTAATTAAACAAGGTAGTGTAGATTTCAATTTAATTAAATACGTACTATAATCTAGTGGTATATGACCTAATAATCATCTCTTTTTGTAAGACCGTATTTGAATGTGAAAATCATAAAATTTATTTTCAAACAATAATCTCTTATTTCCTAACAATTCCTCTAAGGGCATGTTTAGTATAGCGATTTTGGGGTATTAATTAACAGTTTTACCTAAACCGTTAAATATAGATGTTTGGTAAATTTATATATTTTGAAACCGTTACAAATAAAATATTTGGTAAAATTTTTATTTAGTGGTTTGAGACTAACGGATAACGGTTAAGATCCAAACTACTAGCGAATTTAAAAAATTAGTTTATGTAATTTTTTGTATCAAATTGCTAGTGGATTATAATTTTTTAATTTTATTGACAAATTTATCCTTTTTAATTTTTTAATTTTTTGTCACATTTTTTAATTAATATTTATCTAATAAATTTCAATTTTGTTTTTTCACTTTTAATAACATTAAGTGATTATAATATTTTTTTCAGTGTTTTAAGAACTGGACCGGACCGATCGGTTCAACCGGTTGAACTGTCAACCGGTGGACAAAACGGGCTGGGTGGACACCCAGGCCCGTTTAGACGGTTGGATCGTCCAAACCCGGAAGAACCGTTCGACCCGTCCAACCCGATAGACCCGGTGAACCGGCCGGGCGAATTCTTCCACGGTAACTGGACGCTGCAAGCATACTGCAACTTCGTTTTCATTTTTTTTTTTCACGATTTCCCACTTTTTCCAACACAAAAGCAAAATCTAATAGTTTTTTCTCCATTCTCTAGTCTCCATCGGTTCTCCACTCTCAAGTCCAGTCTCCATTGCTTTTCCAGATCTGATCGTTTTCTCCATTACTGTTCTGGATTCTTTAGTTTCCAACTTTCCATCACTTTTCCAGCCATATCGACAAAGAAGAAACCACAGGGTAGCACCGTAGCAGATCGGGCAACAGATCGCTTCTCCTTCGCATCTCCAGATCCAACAGCAGATCAGCTTCTCCATCGTATCTCCAGATCGGGAAGCAGAGGGCAGCAGATCAAATCAGCCTTCATCGAAAGACTTGTCTAAAACCACCCATTAAATTAGAGGTTGATAAAAAGGAGCCATGAAAGATCATAATTGGGTTTCTGTTTTTTTTTTTTTAAATCGCTTGATGATGGTTTGTGTTCTGATGAAGTGATGATCAATTGCAATGGAATTGATTGTACAGGGCACTCGCCTCGCGCACTCTCCAGCCAACACTTTCACTTTTATTGGGCCACGTTATATTGGTTGAAGAGGTATCATAGATATATATTTACATCTTAGATATATTTATAAAAACAGTATATAGACATATATATAATTAATTATCATAAAAAATGATTTGACATGAAAAACAGAGTATGATACTTTTATAATAGTTAATTATATTTATATATATATATGTCTATGTACTGCAATGAATTATTATAAATATATCACACTTTTATATGAATTAAT